TATTATAGCTCCTGTTAATACAGCTTTTCAGTGGCGCCGAAAAAGTTTTAAAATAGTTGGGCAAACTTTGAAAAACAGCTAATACCAACCAACTCCTATCTAAAATCAATTTATTGGAATCAAAACAAATTGTTTTTGATAAATTTAGATTTCTATATTAAATGAATAATGTTAATTATGTATATAAGTAGTATGAGTACATTATTAAGTAATTTGTTAATTTAAAAATGTATAATTAATATTATATTTTCGGGATCATGACGAATATTATGTTTATCAAAAAGTAATATTTTTAACAGTTTGTAGCATGAGTGTATACAGATATAAATTTGAGAAAATAGAGTGTTGTTATTCATTCGGTTTTTGGTCTTTAAGCATCTTTCTGATAGTCTGTTGTATACAAATCGCCGGCTGGCCTGTAACCCAACCAGTCCGCTCCTGTACCTGTACGTATTTTATTGGGTTGTCTGGATACATTTTTTTGGTCGGGCGGGAATCGGGCTACATTTTGTTCACCTGCTTCGTAAATAATATTTGTGTACATTTTACTACCCGGGCCACAAAATGTGTAACACAAAAATATATAATTTTAAATACATTCAAATGTATACTTAATATGAAATGCAATATAAAATTAGTCAAATAATTATTAATTTTTTTTACAATAATATGATACAGATTGCTTTGGATAGTATTCAAAATCGATTACAACGAACATGAGCAATTTAAATTTGTAATCGCGGAAAAGGGTAACAATATGGTTTAAAACAGCGATTTTCCTTTTGTCGAATCTAAAATGTATTCAAATTTAAAATATAATGGCCCAATTGCCGGATTCAATAATAAAAAGTCGCTTAACATAGTGGCCCAATCGCCGGGCCTACGTGCTATAAATGTACAATGTTAGTGGCCCGATTACCGTATACCTTTTAGAAAAAAAAAAAAAAAAAAACGTTCAATGTGTTCCGATTCTCGAACGCCCTTTTTTTCTGTTTTCATTCCCGGCCTGAATTTGGTCCCAACTCCGTCCCTGTCCTCTCCGGCAGACCATACATAGTTCAACACGCCACTGCAGCTGCCGGCGACACGCAGCTGACCCTAGTAAATTATAGCTATTATTGTATTGTACGCATGCGTCATTATCATAACGTTGCATTTTAATTGGCCCGCGCCGGTCCGCCGTGCATGGATTTATTTATAACCAGATGTACGGGGCCGACGCGCACATTCGCACCATACCTGTTATTTCGCGCGTTTTCTTTCTGCTGTATTTTGCACAATCCGATGTACACGATGCGTCGTGAATATTGTTGGTTATATTTAATTATCAGTGTCGTCCCGTATATAATAGCCAAAGGTCAATGCCCGCGCGCGCTTGACGACCGCCAACGTACACGTACCAATCTGTTCCTTTTCGTATTTCGGCCGCGGACCCTGCGCCGCCACTGGACTTTCGTAACGCACGTATTACCGTTGACTGTTAAATGCGCACACCGAACGACTTCGGTTGTTTAACATGCACCGTGTTAGTTGACCGCCGCCGTATGGTTCGTCGTACTTTTTTAATATTATTATTGAAATATTATTAAATTACTTGCGGCGAATGGCCGCCTGTTGTCGTAGGTACCTACCTATTCCTCTACCGTTTCGGTTGTGTGCTGATCGCCGATCGGTTTGGCCATATATTTTTCTCGCGGATATATTTCACAACGCTTAACTAGTCCGCCGTGCTTTTCGCATAATTGTTATTTCCTTGACGGCGGCACCCTCTATTGTTAATTTTCATATTTCAAACACAGCCAGTAAGTACACCTGGCCAGTCTGCTGGACGACAAATTGTTGGTGTATGGATATATCTTGTACAGGTAGGTACTTACCTACTAAACAGTGTATTTTATATCATTCGCTTATTATTATTGTTGGGCCAGAAGAACCCTAGATTATTTATTTATCAGTGTTGAGCCAGAATAGTAATTATTGTTATACTTGTTTATTTGTGTTACATCGTCATTAGGACATTGCCCACATAGGTATCTAACCGAAACATCGGTTTTGCAGCCAAATTGTTTTGTTGTTGCTATGTGTATTTGGTTGTTCCTTTTAGTAGCCTACCTACATATTGGGTTTATTAAACAAATATACCTATATATTTTCTGTAATTAATATACATCTACCTACTTTTATTTGTCCAGTGGAATTTACTTTAATTAATTTCAGAAAACCAACAATAACTAATAAATCATTAGAATAAAATTCCATAGACAGAACAATGGACATGGCTCATAATTTTTGTTCGACATGATCCTAAAATTTAAAAAATTACATGTAACTTAGGCACTAATACATTTTTTGTATCTGACAAAATAATAATTTTGTGACTAGCGATTTATTTCATTTTACTTAAGTTATATACATGACTTCATATAATTCAACTAACTTGTGTGATGTAAACATTTATTATAATAATTAAATTATAATATATTATGTAGAAAATAATAGGTATAAGTTTTTAAGAATATTTTAATCCAATGTTAATGATAAAAGTTAAATTAATCTAATAATTTGCATTTACATATTATAAATAATAAGTAGGGTAGAGGACTTGTAGCCTTAAAAAAGTCATCAAATGAATACGCAAAATATGCAAAATAAAATACACACTTAATCCAAAATAATTTGCATTATTAAATTAAAAACAAAAATATTTTTATTTATTTTTTAACTGGATTTATTTAATTTTGTTACAAGTGTTAAAACTTTGAGAAGTTATTGTATTTTATAAATATTCACTGACTCCTTCCAATTCTAAAATATAAAATACAAAGAATTTTGGTTTCAAATATTTTAGATTACACATATTTTTATTTTAAAAATTCTATTCAATAAGATATTTTTTTCAAATTTTCAAACTGGAAAAGTTTTCTGTTGTCAGTAACAGCACTTTAAATATTGAAATAGAATGTTTCACATCCTCTAAATGTATACAATTGAATTTAAAAAATACTAAATAGTCATTGTCTATGCTCAAATGTACAGGTATTTTGATCATTGAAGTTTCATCAGTTAATTTTTTTTAAATTTGGTTGTAATATGTGATATAAAAACGTGATGGAGAAAATATTGATAAAATTATTAATTAAATGTCTCTAAAAGTATAAAACACCAGAAATATTATGTAAAAACAAACAAATCAAATTATGCATTTATATATAAAATAAAATTACAAATCTAGCTTTGTCTTAACACAAAACGTTTAATAATGTTTAAAATAAATATCAATTATGCACAAATTAAAACTTAAAACACAAACTTAGAAAAGAAATATTTTAAATCTGTAAATTTGTTTAGTTAGAAATTAGCAATATTCTTATACTATAATTTTTATTTTGAATTAGAAAAATCAAATCAGTGGTTTAACATTTGTAAACTTAATTAAGATTCTGAATATCAATATTATTCAGAATATGTGAATGTCTGAGAACTCAAATTCCTAATCTGGGTGATCTTGATTTCATGATTTCAAAAGATTAATAACTGTAGGTTAGTATCATTATTTGTAAATTAGGTCTAATATAACTTAGGTTTAAAATATTAAATATTCATATCTTGAGTTAGGCCCTCATCACAACAGTGACACAACACAATTTAAAAAAAAAAAGTTGCCAAGTAAAATATCATAAGACCTAAGATTTCTGCACACTATAGACGATATTTTGGCAACTGGAGTTGCTCCGTATTCAGTATTCTATGAATTGTTACAAACATGTTATCTTCTGAAGATGACAATATTATTGTGGCTTATTGATGATATCGAGACCGAAAAATTACTAATAAAAGGTGATATTGGATACATCCATATATATATTAATATTGATTGTCCAGTTTTTGTTGCTGTTGATATAAAAATCTCAATCTTTTTATTTTATAAAGAAAATTTTAACGTACTTTTAAAAAAAAGTGGGACCAGCTATTAAAAAACAAGACACATTTCTGTTGTTGTGTATGTGTGCATCTACTGCTTCAACTAGGTTTACAGTTCGGTTATCTTTTTTCGTTTTTGCCATTTAAACAAAATAAAATATAATTAATTATTAGCCACATGATTGACTAGACAACTTTTATCAAGCGACTGATAGCATCACAGCACCAGTCGCTCATGATTAGTTGCTTTCGTGTTGCGTTGTATCACGCTGGTGGTAGGTCCTTGATGTATTAACCTGTGTTTTTAAAACAAATGATGATCACGCAATATTTATTTAAAATCACATTACCTGAGTGTGACAAGGGCCTCACTCTTCATTTTTAATATATTTGGGATAACATTTATCATCTGTTGTTCAAAAACCAAGTTACTTGGTTATGTCTAGTATTGTTATTATTTTTAAATAATGTACCTAAAAGCTTTTATGTAACATCAACATAACAATTTAAATGCTGAATATTCAAGTATATTTTATTTAGAATTATTTTAATCACATAAATCAAACATAAATAGTACAAATCACAATGACAAATTGTTTTTTATTTTTATTCTAGATGCTTAAATATAAAAATAATTACAAACATTATACTAGTTGAGCATAAAAAATTTGATACTTTATGAAACATTTTAAAATTATTAAAATATCAAATTTTTTTTTTCATAAAACAAACTTAAAAAAACTATACATTATTCAATAAGAGATTAATTTAAAAATGAACTGGATACAAACTAGTGTGACAAATAAAAATATTGAATGTCCAGGTATGTCATTTAAAATTATTTTAATAATACAAATTAAACAAAAATGATATAAAACACAAACAAAAAAACTGGTTTCTTAGCTGGACATAACCAAAACACAAAAAAATAGTTGGGTTTAAAATGATAAAAATACCCAACAATGTTCAAAAATCTAACAAAATTAGACTTTTTTTAATAGGAAATTAATTTAAAAAATATAAAATATAACTTGATATCATATTAATAGGAAATGAATTTGAAAATAAAAAAATTGATATCAAATTTCTGGAATATATACACCATCACCATTGTGACGTGCACAACATTTAGTAGAATATTTATTCATTATTTGATAAACAAGATTAGTGTGAAACTCATTTAATGACATTGAATTTTTGGTTATGGTTTTATAAGAAGAAAATGCGTTTAAGAAACACAGGTCAATAAGATGAAAAAAAATTTTTTTATACCATTTTAAGTTTTTCATTATGCATTCTAATGGGCAGAGTAAAGTTTCAGAGTTGTCAATAATCCTCATGTGTTCAATATATTTATTCAAAGGTAATGGTTTTGTTAAATGGTATCCATGACGATAGTTTTTTCCAACAATAACTAGTTTATCTTCAAATTGTGTTGTCAACATATAATTGTAACAGGGATGTTTTGTTTTAATAACAAGCATGATGTCAGTATGATTACTGTCAGCCTGACCAGTTTTCAATTTCCATTTTAATTTAGGTATATCATAACGACTTTTTCTAACAGTTCCAGTCATGTTGGTACATTTTTTTAATAGAAACTTAGCCAATAATGGTGTCACATATAAACTGTCAATAAAGAGTTTGTATCCTTTGTTGAGGTAAGGTTCCATTAATGTGTTTACAACATTCCCAGAAATTCCAAGGTTTGAATCAACTTCATGAAATTCTGTTTCGATTCCAGTATATACAAGTAAATTAACAACGAAATCTGTTTGTATATCAACAAGTACAAACACTTTTAATCCTGAGTATTGAGGATTTTTTTTGTTAAACTGTCCAATATCTATAGGTTCTTCCCACAAAACAAAACTTGCATCAATTGCCAAGTTTTCGTTTGGGACAATTGCTTTTTTAAAATTATTAGTTATATCATCTAATGGCATGCGAATCTTTGATAAACAATCATTGGGTTTTGGATCCTCTATGGTGAAGTGCAGCATTTTCAATATTAACGAGTACCTCTCATAACTCATATGAAAATTTAATGAGGGTCGACTAAAAAATGAATATTTGTCCCAAAAATCCTTTACATCGTAACTGTTAAACATGCCCATAGTCAAGGCCAAAAAAACATACAACTCACTGACATCAGTATCTGTCCAATTATAATTTCTGAAAAATAAAAATATTTAAATAGGCGCATCAATTGGTTTTATCGGTATTATTAATATATATATATATATATATGTACTCAGAGGCAATTGGTTCTTGAACAGTAAATTCATCCCAGTAAAGATTCGTTCCATGAGCAATTTTATTTAATAAATCAGGTGTCACCAATGCTTCAAAAAAGTCTATGATATTTGATTTCTCGGAGAGTTTGAATTCCGCTTTACAAAAACCACTCTAACAAAAAATAATAATAAATATGTTATAAGTACCTACTTCAATTTATGATATAATATAATATATAATGTATATAGTTTATGATAATAGTTTTATCAAGTGTGGCAGGAAGAGACCGAAACTGTTTGTTAAACTGATTAACCATATAAAAATTTATTAACTGACACATTTTAATTGAACAGTGTAATGGAAGGTAGGTATGCAAAATAATAACATTTTTATTTTTATTCATTAATTACTTGCTTTACTGTAAATTAAACTGAAAATGTAGATGTTTACTAGCTATCATCTATTAATTTTACAATTTATATTTTAAATTACTCCAACACCCATTATCACACCCATAGTATATGTATTAATAATAATTATTTTTAAATAATTCAATGGTTTTCACTTATTTAAGTAGATTTGTTTGGAAATTTATTAAGTGCATATTTTTTTTTAGATCATTTTTGTGTGTTTTTTAGGCTTTTAACACTGTAGCCAGCCGAAGGCTGACGCGACTGTGCTCTTACGTTTTACTTAATGACGGAACTTCATTATCGTCTGCTGGTGGAAGAAGATGGAGATAAATAGTAGAAACGATTAGAAATTAATACGATTAAAAAACTTTAGTTAACATAATTCATAAAATTATAAATAACAAATAAAAATGGACCAGAGGTTCGTCCGCAAGAGTATGAACGTGGACCGACTTAATGTGAGGTGGTGGTGATGATCTAAGATTTATAACCGCTCTGCCTCTTAGTGTACATCAAAATCCGTATATATACGGATCCCAAACCGAAGCTATGTGCTTCTTGAAGGTTTGTCTAATAGGAAATAATGAAAAGAATAGAATAGATGGTTAGCGTGTGTCGAGGTCCCCTTATGATAATCGTATATATTATTGACGTAGATATCGTTCCTGACATGCTTGCAATAATATATTTAATGGGTTTACTACAACACCCTATCTCTAGTTATCTAATTAAATTATTAAATTAATAATGATTAATTTAATTAAGTCTTTACATTTATTAAAACTGTTTTTAGTTTTTAAATCTTGATTATTCAGTATACCTAGCAATTTTAAAATATTACTATACCTTAGATGAGTCAAAATGGTAGACTTGAGGTGTAAACGTTCCGTGTCTTATCCATTTTGGATTGTTTGTTAATTTTGTCGAGGTAAACCTAACGTTAGACTTGCCAATCGGTAAAACATCTATTGTGAAAAATAATAATCATAAAATACCTACCTTTAATAAAATCGCAATGTACAAAATTATTAAATTTAAAAAAAAGTACTGACCAGAGTTTAAATATTTTCGATCAAAATCAACAATTTTGTCAACAATCTCATCCTCTGAATCGGAATCCAGGTAAATATCATCGAATATTTGTCCTTTATTGCTGTTTTTAGAATTGAGTGCGTATAAATTTATAGCAAACTTTAAACCAAATTTACTCATGGCTATACCGGTTTATACGTACCTACAAATTGTTTACCAAATAATATACACGGAATATTAAACTAATATTACATATCTTAATTTATAAAATAGGTACTTACCGATTTGAAAATCTGCTGAAAAAACTCCTCTTTAAGCTAAATATAATAAGGAAAATCGAAGTTATGCAATTAGGATGAAAAATATTAATGACTAATAGTGCAGAAAACGAGTAAATGGTAATAGCACATTTTTTTTCCCGCGCAAGCTGATATTTGTTGTTTACACACGGAAATTATATTCTGGGAGTGTTATTCGCTTACCAATGGTACCAATTGGTTTAAAAACCAATGGTTCCCAGTTTTACCTAACCTAACATGCGGGCTCGCCTACTCGAGTACGACTTATCAGAATTTTATTAGAAAATAAATCACGATTTTTTGAGCAAAACATAGAGTATTATTATATGAAGTAAAACCACGTCGGGTTATAGGGGAATAAGTGTCAACTGAAAAATTCTCGGATTTCAGTTTTGCTACAAAGTAAAAAAAAAAAAAATATTTTGGAGACCAATGATTATTATATTATTATTTTCCTGTGTTTTATATATCTTCCTAATATTTGTTTAATTTGCATCATTAGTGCAAGAGAGAGATTATTATTCATTAATCATTATAACATATTTTCAATTTTAAAGTTTTAGTATCCCTGAAATCATATCTGCGATTTTACTTTAGTCATTCGTCATTCTCTTTTAGCAGCGGTTCCCAAACTTAGGGTCGCGATCAAAATAGGGTCGTTACTAATCTGTAAGTAAGTATAATTGAGTCACGTGTAAGTTAGGTTAGGTTAGGTAAATTTTATGATCGCGGTGAAAAATGTTTGGGAGTCACTGTTTTACAGAATAGTAGTTGTCCCTTGGAGTCGGTTACGATTCATATACAGAAAACATAATGGTGGCAAAAAAAAAAAAAAAAAAAGATTTTCAGTTGGTAACAAAGGGTCAATCCCAAACTTAACCACAGATATTTTATAAAAACTAGATGGTTGACAGCCGACTCCACAGCGCCATTTGTTACTTGGGCCATGTATACAAATTCTTTCGTTGCCGGACAATATTTTATGTTAACGTAGTCCATGGCTATTAAATTTATCTGCGATTAGGACAGCACTAAAATGATAATACAATGATGTAAACATTGCCAACAAGTGAAAAATGTCGCCGGGCATCATAATTGTGTACATTGTTGTATATGGAGTCGGCCAGTGGCAGCGTGAACGTGGTTGTTGTAATGACTCGTTTTTAAATTGACGCAGCTTTGTGACGAAAAAAAGGGCGGGTTGGGTGGGTGTTGAATGTTCATGTTTATGGTTGAGTATAGATATAAGCTATTTGATGTACAATGTGTAGTACGTAATGGACGACGCTTTATTCTTAAAATTTAAAAAATCAAGAAAGTTTACATGCCGATCTCTGATTTGGGAAGCGTTTTTTTTTAATATTCTGTGTTAATATATCCATATGTAGAAGGGTGCTTTGCTTTCTAGATTATGGAAAATAAATAAGTATCAACCTTGTGATACGCAACATTCGGGCTCTTCCCTCCACAAACACGACGTCATTCGCTCTCCGCTTTTGAATTATTATTTATTATAATATTATAATATTATTATTCTGTAATTCTGAACCTTCTGAGAACGGCTTACGTCACAGCTCTGGACGATGTGCCGGAGGGTTGCGCATTCCCGTCTAAAATACGATTTGATGATAACATACCTATGACCTATATCTATTTTGACATGTTCTAATTTATCGGAAATGATGGCTAGCAAATTCAATAAACAACAGATAACAGATAACTCGATACCAAATAGAGTGGCGAAAAATGTCTTATCAGTGCCCTCGGAGATTCGCCTATATTTTGTTTCTTAAATAGATGAAAAATACTGATTTTATTATGAAAAAAAGACGTACATACTTCGCACGTGGCTGCAGCCACTGTTGTTGGTGGGAAGTAGGTTTAATTATTTGTACAATAAAATAAAAACTCTACTTCGTATTGTTAAACGAATTGCTAAACTTTCTTGATATTTTAACTTCATAAATTCGGCAATAGCAATTCCAATTTTTAAACTTAATGTTGATAGTACAATTTTCAAACTCAAAATAATACTATCATAAAGCATTTATTTTTATTGATACTATAAAATAAGCCTTAAATAGTTAGATAATTATATTTTGTACATTTTTGAAAAAAAAAAAGGTAACGAGAAAACCTTTTCTTGCATATTTATTTTACAAGGGACGCTGTAAGAAATTTTTTTTGGGGGGGGGGAGGGGTGCTAAAAGAGAATTTGGAGGAGGGCTATTATAGCCCCCGACGTTCCGCGCCTATAGTGGTATCGTTTGTATGACGTGTGTTCGAAGTCGAGAGGAAAATAAAATTTACTCGGTCACACAAATGTTATCTATATTATCAATTATCATTATTATGTAATTATGTTATCGGTATTCGGTCGTACTATCGTGGCTCAGTGGCGGACCCAGAAATGTTTCACCGAGTGGGCGCGAAATTGTCCTCATACTTACGACTGCCCGGATCGCATCGTAAAAACAAGTAGCGCCATAAAGTATATCGGCCCTTGGTCTCCAGGAATGCACCATGGTGATTCATTTAAATGGGTACACTCATTATTCCGGAAAGTATTAACTGTTTCAGGGAATTTGTTTTCTAGAACATTTAAGAAACAAGCAGCTCTACAATTTTATATTTTTTTCTCACCTTTATTTTTTGGGTGTAAAACCACCATCTATTTTGGATTTTAAGTTACGGTTGGTGGTGCCGCCGCACAAATGATACTCCACTACTATCCTCCAACACAAACTTAAAAGTGGAATATCTCGTCAACGGATTGATGGAAATCAACAACTTCAACACTAAAACGTGTTTAATAACTAATACTCCATATATTTACGGAATTTTTAATACGGGTTGCCGTTTAAAAACCAAAGTAGGTGGTAGTGGTTTACCGCCAAAAATAAGGGTGAAAAAAAACGACATAAATATAAAATCGCAGAGCAACTTGTCTCTTGAAATGGTCTACAAAACGAAATCCGGAAACAATGAACGCTCACCGGTAATAATAATGAGTGTGCGCGCTTAAATGGATCGCCCGGTATAAATGAAAAGAAAACCGAACGGTCTACGACAACCGACAAGTCGTATCGGTAATATTATATTAATTTATAATCGTATTGCAATAATCATTTGATATTAATTATTGGTTTCGGGTTTTATCTATGTTTATCGTGTTTTGTTTTTGTTTTTTCCGGGAAACAGTTCTCGTCGACGGCAATTTCGATGCGGTCACCGATAAAGCTGTAATACATCAATGCACATAGTTATTGATTCGTTGAACAACGAGAAATATTAATTAAAACCATTACATGGATGTACTCCGAAAATTATTGTTTATCGTCGACGACGGTCGATGACCGAACGAAATATAGCTGTATTACCACGGTCGCTACGCGATAAATATAATATGACATTCCGGTTAGTGTGTAGTCGCAATGAGCTACGAAAATAGTCGAAAAACCCGACGTTATATTTTACACGTCAGGGGTGGCCAAAATTGTTGTGGCAGTGACCACTACTGAGAATATATTTTTCCTCCGAGGACCGACTTCTCAACAAAAATGTTTAAATAATCGTAATTTTTATTATCCAATAGTTGACAAACGAAATATCAAAGCTGACATGCGTAATGTAATAATGTTGTCCGGCACACTAGTATCAATCACACTAATGCAATATCGCTGCAAGTACCCACAATCATTGCCGGGACAAACTCCGTTGAATTGCACGGTATTCGATAAATTCACAACAAAACAAAAATAATATCTAATATATAAAGATAAAAAAAATGATCAACAATTGTTGTACTTGTCCACTAGTTGCATACAAATAATCGACCGTTCGGCCACCCACGATATACATAATACAAACCTATTTTCAGGGATTTGGGGGGGAGGGCGGACGTCCCCTTTGCCTCCCCTTGGATCCGCGCCTGTGATGTGGCTTCGTAGGTTAGGTATCGGTACCCGGTTATGAATCGCTGTGACTCGTGATTCGATGATCGTACTATTGCAACATTCATTAACATTGGATAATATGCATAACGCGGTATTATGAAATGCTAAGCCCCTCCAAAATATGATGGGTAATTTGCTTCTATGATACGAAGATAAGTTACAGAGACTTGAAATAAATAGAAATGGAAATTAATTCGTTATTATTAACACTCAGCTTCTTATTAAGGGACACACCGATTTTTCTCTGTCTGTCTCGCGCAAATAATGTAGCAACAAATGCACATCACAATTCAACGATTACGACTTTTTGGTTTACGACAAAGAGATCTCTGTTGTATATATATTTTTAAATTAATATTGACTGTGCCTTGGCCGAATGATATGTGTTTAAATATTTTCGTTTGTTACAACATTTGATAACATATTATTGTAGCTGAAATTAAGAGACATTTTGTTAAATTGAAATGCCCATATTTCTGTGATAAAAAATAAAGCGCGATTAGTATTTGCTGCTATATTATGCGCGAGACATACAGAGAAAACAAATTATGTGTTTAATATAAAATACCAAGGTGATAATCTGAAACTTAATATAGGTAACGGTATAATATGAAAACCCCCCTTTTTTAACACCCTCAAATTTTCCTTTGTAATATTGTTAAAATTGTGCTGAGTATACCTTTAACAAATTTTATGAGAACATCACTGTAAATAAATATGAATATTTTTCGATACCGTAAATGGACGCCGCGCCGTGAATAATATTTAGCCCAGGGATCGGTAATTATCGGATAATTTGGTAAATTATTAAAATAATCCATAATTTTGGTAATTATCGATATCTAATTAATAATTTAAAGGAAAAACAGAAAATATATAAGGTGTTAAAGTATGCAGGTAATAACTTATTACCTAAATTTGCAAT